TATACGTATATATATATATATATATATATACATATTCCTGTGTCTTTGTAAACTGTTTGTACCTGACGATCCAATAAGCTTGTCTAAACGTTGTACATTTGTAATAAAGTTTCTTTCATTACAAATCCAAGCCGTATACAGACTTTATTTATTAACTATATATATTTTGGTTTGGAAATGCTATATATATGTATAAACTACAGATAATATACCAATTGTATTTTTGTGACTCAAATATGCCCGTTGATTATATATATACTTAAATGGTAAGTGGCGGGTAATTATAATCTGAAATTGAACTTACATGTGCACCAGAAATTTAAGGGCAGGAAATGTACTAGGATTTAATGAACTGTACACTGTAACGTTGTTGATTCAAGCTGTACATACGGGATGTCGTTGCTAGTGTGATCAAGAAAGAGACCTTGACAGCTCATTGCACGTAATTGTAAGCTGTGGTTGGTTAATTCACCTCTACAGGAAATAGTGTTAATACAGCTTATCTCATGGACAGAATACGGATTTTCAGTGGATCGCTGTGTTGTTATAACCAACAACCAAGTGTCATTTACTTTATTGAATAAAGACACGTAAATTTTAACTAAGGAGTGTAATACGCCCTGATGATGTTTCAATATATACTGTTTACGAACACTTCACATAGTTAATTGAGAGGTAGCGATAATCTTCTTTTATCCTATCTCATAGTTTTTTGTAGAATTTCACCTAGTTTATTTTTGTTTCGAATATACAACACGTGACTAAATCGGTAAAGACCACATTGTTTTGAAGTATTAAATGCAAGTTAGAAGAGTAACTTCGGACATTGTGATTGTGGTAAGTTCATAATAGACCAAGTTTGGAAGTGGGAATTGTTGAGAAACTGCCTTCAAAATTAGGGACGGTTGGTTTAAAGTATAAACCGTGTTTTCTGTTTTGAAGACATTTTTTAAATTTGTTTGTTTGAAGTTAAGCACAAAGCTACACAATGAACTATCTGTGCTTTGCCAACTACGGGTATCGAAACCCAGTTTCTAGCGTTGCAAGTCCACAGACACACTGCTGTGCCATTTTCAAAAGTGAGGGCGTTATAATGTATCAGTCAATCCAACTATTCGTTGGTAAAAGAGAAACCCAAAATTGAGCCATTGGTGTTGTTGACTTGCTGCCTTCAAAATTAGGGACGATTAGCGCAGATAGTCCTCGAGTACATTTGGAGTACATTTCCGCAAGCAAAGATAAGTTAAAGGAAATATTTTTTTTCAAACAAGAAATGTGGTTTAACTCCCTTTTTTGTTAACATGTGCTACGATACAAGAAATTAAGAAA